GTGTTCTTTGAGAATTTAAGGCTCTAGTTCTGCAAGAAGTGAAACTGATTATTGCAGCCCACTGTGTGCAAATTATTTAGATTATTTAGATGCCTGAACATCTAAACTCATCAAAAGCTTGGGCTGTATGCTAGTCAGAAGGTATAGGGATGTGGGTTGCTAAGTGCCAAAATCGATTGTATATCAGATTTCTTCAGAATGTGTTGCTGTTGGTTGCTTGTATAAATGATCTTGCACCAGAACCTCTGTTGTATGTGTCTGGCAAACATGACTGGGAGCTTTGTTGATAACACCAGTGTATTAGAAGCTTCCTTAAATACCATGCAAAAGAGCAGCAGACATTGAGCAGAGAACTCTTGTGTTAGAAACTAAAATGTGATTGTTAACGTTGATGTTCTGTCAACACTGAGATTGAAGGGAAATCAATCTATGGTATCTTTGGTTGTGGATATGAAGGACCCTTGCGTATATGGACTATACTGGAAAATTGTGGTGATATGGAGGAGAAAACTGAACTTAAGGATATTACCCAAAGGGAAAAGGACAAAATATTTGTTGTGCATGCCGTGGAAGGCAGCCCTGCTTATCTAGTCCTGCAGACCTGTTAATAATGACAGACTAAGGGGAGCTGTACCTGTGTGTTTTCAGATATGACCAATATAGTTATGCAGAGCATATAAACTCTGTGGAGTGTCCCTGTTGGGTCTAAAGAATTAAAGAGGAAGTTTTCCTGCTTGGACGGAAGCTCTGTAACTCACCTTCTGTATAGGAGACTAAATGAGCAGAACAGACAAGAGCAGCAGGTGCCCTCAAGAGTAGAGCATACTATAGTAGCTCCAGTCTGCTGTTCCAGGGCCAGTCTAGCACTGTTACCAATACTCTGCACTATTTTCCAAGCCAGCTTAATACTATAGCACTGCCTGCCAGTGACTGTCACCTTGTCACTGTTTAATAGCAGTGTTCAACAAGATACTGACATTTGAAAAGACCGAATCAGTGCTTCTGACAGCAGCAGTCTGTTGAATGACGCTAGCCTTATGCAGTTTTTCTGGGGTAAGGTAAATCAAGTGTAAAGGGCATGGATTCATGTGTGTCATCTCTCTCTTAGAATAGGCATTTGAGGGGAGCCCTTTTTCTGTCGGTTTTTACAGCTTGTCCTTTGAGGGAAGTCAATTAATGCTAGAGGAGAGATGAAAGCCCCTCTGCATAATGCTCTGAAGAAGGCAGTGGTGTTGCTGGGGGTAAAGGGCATTGGACATGCTTGGATATGCATTGTGGAAGGCTGATTTTAAATGAACATGTGGGATAGGAGCTTGTAGCATGCCATCTGCCACACAGCTACCCACGTGCACCTTGTAAATCCGTCCCACTTCCCAGTGTGGAGTAGATCACTGGTTTCTGTTGGTTTTCTTCAAACAGTGTGAACACAATACTGTACGTTGCTGGGCCCCTTGAAAAGATGTGCTTGAGGGGCATCCCTGTTGTTTTTTGTATGCTGCACAGAGATAACATGTTTTAAGTGTGATGAAAGAGTATATAACAGTGCATATGGATTGCTAGTAGGTGAGCAAGGCAATAATGAAGTCACTGTGTTTACTGTGGAGGCAGCAATCACACCACTTTTCTGCTTGTATCGGAGGCTTGTGTGACGTAACCTGCTCAAGTCAGCTCTTGAAGTCTGGTTAGCAGGAAGACGCTATCAATGAGAAGATTTCTCAAGTTCGTGTTTTCTTGTAAAAGGGATTAACTAGGCCTTAAGCTGCCAACGATGCAGATACAATGCTATGTGTTTCAGCGATCCCTTTTGAGAAAAGTCATGCGATACAGTGTGCAGCTGACTTGCCTGATCCTCTCACAGGGTACTTCAGCATCTTGTTCCCGGTATTGGATTAAAGAAACTGAAGTGTGTAGTGTGAAGTAGACTTGTTAATACTGGCTCTCTGGTTCCTACTACTCGCGAGGTCACAATTTCTGTGTCATGGTAGTTGTTAGGTTTGAATAGTGCGTTTCCAGTGTTAGTAGTGGAGGTTTCCTCTCTGCTCCTTCATGTCATGGTTAGAGGGACTGCGCTGACACATACAGGGGGACTACTGGCGAAGGAATTGCTGCCCCTCTGCATAACCTTTCCAGAAATTCTATTACTTAAGCCAGCAATTAGGGTATTTAATGATAACTTTGCAGCTGGTGGAGCAGAGGGAGCACTGACTGAATGAGGCATAAGCAAGGATGTCCTTTCTTCTCTCATTTCTAAGACTTCAAAAAGTTTTGCCTTCCTGTGTCCCAAGGGTGGTTTCTAGGTTTCATTCTCTTGAAAACTGCCCATCACTTAAATGCGCAGGAGTGGAGCACTTAGAAAAATATAAGGGAAAATCTTGAGAGCTGGATGTTGCTGCCTGGCCCTTTCAGCTGTATGTACAGTAAGGTGTTTCCTGGTTGTGTGATTTCCTCTTATTCTTTCCATCTACTTTGGCACAGACATGCATAAAAAAGATGTAAAGTAGAGCACAGATGCTGAATTCTGGGGTGATAAAAAGTTCAATGCTTTACACACAGCCTTTTTTCTCATTTCTAGCTGTAACAGAAAGCACCTGAGAATGGAATGAAAGGCATTAATAACCTCAGACTTTGCCACTGCCTTCCCAGCATGCAGCAACTCTCAAAAGTGTAGAAGAGGCCCATTGGTATGTTTACATAGTGTAGTGTAGCTCAAAAAAAAAAAAAAAAGGGTATGAATTTATATAGATCTCAATTAGCTCAAAGCCGTTTTACCAGCACCCCACTGTTTGCTAGCGGTGCTTGGCTGAGCAGGAAGTAAGTTGATGACTAGTATAAATGCCCTTCCTTGTGTTGGATTGGTTTTCCAAGGCAGTGCTGTGGGGGAATTCAATCACAGCTTCGTCACGTTCCCGGTTGATAAAGAAGTGCAGGGCTCAGAAGACTGTCTTGGACAGAACACGAGGGGTATAATAAGAATCAAGAGATCAAGGGATACTTTAATGTCCCCTCCTTCTGAAAGCCTCTTGGCTAGGCAAGATATACAGCCATACGTACAGCTGTTACGCAGAACTAGAACACACAGGGCTCACAAGTTCTGGTTTCAATTGAATCTTGGCTGGGTTGTTTCTGTTTACTGCTGTATCCCAGTCGTTTGAGACGGAATACTAGTGTTTGTCAGTATAGCCTGCTAAAATCTGGTGAGAATAAAACTGAGAGTGGCGTGGACCTCGCACTATTACTAACCTTTGTGGATCTCCACTGACTTTGATTAATTGCTGCCAGTTTACTTATGAAGAGAAATGCCCTGTCAGAATGGTTGTTGGCTAAAGGAATGTGCTCAGACACCTTATCAGAAAATCCCGCTACTTAGGTCCTTTTTTAATGATGGCAGGCAGTGCACCTTCATTCGGTGTATAGCTATATACTCAAGGTCTAACCCCCACGGTCCATATGTCTGTTTCCCAAGAACTGTAAGGAACGTTGCCATTGGCACATACAAACAGGTTTTCATTTCTGAAGCAGTGCGTGTTTCTTAAAATCCCAGGTGTGTTTTGCAGCTAAAATTAGTGCCTTTGTGGTCTGGAGGTAAAATTAGCTGCTCTTGGGAGAAGGAATTTCATGCGCTGCAGCATGAAAACACTGTAAAGTTGCTGAGAAGTGCTCTGGCTGCATGGGGTAGAGGAATAGCTCGATTAAGATGATTGTTTTCTGCAAGCTAATGGCTGCAGTTCTGAGAGAAAACCTGTTCAGTTTGGCCTCTTGAAATTCATACTTGATCTGGACTTGTTAGGCCGTAGAGCTGCTGCAGCATTAAGCTATAGCTGGAGGAAAGCCAGAATCCAATTACATTTTCTGCCTAATGGGTCATAATTTATGCTATAAAGACGACAGTGATGTTGCTGGGGGAAAAGGGCATTGGGCATGCTTGGATATGCTTTGTGGAAGGCTGATTTTAAATGAATGTGAAAATGGGGAGGTATGCTTTCGTTTCTTGCTTGTTTATTACCCATGCAATTGAAATCAGAAAATAAGTTGTCCTACTGGACCACACGCAACACAGGCCAGAAATCTGGTTATCTTTCATCTTGGTTGTCTTACTTGCTTTGCTGTGATTGTTGATTCTCCCCTTATTCTACTAAAATGGGTTTGTTTTAATAAATTCAGCATCTTTGGGTTTCTGCTTTTGGTTTCTGGTACGCTTCCAAAACAGTATGTTCTTTCTCCTTTGTCCATTAAATGCTCGTAACTTTCACTTTTGTAATTAAATGAGGAAAAAGTACTTTGTTTTTTTCCAGTAGCAGGACTCCAAATGTAGGCTTCTAAGCTGTGCTTAGATATCGAGGTAGGAGACTTGCCCTAATTCTTAGAGAGCTGCTCAGAGAGGTTGGTTATTCTTGAAAGGCCAACTGTTAATTAAGATATCCAAATACAGATTAAAAAAACTGAACTTTGGACTTCTGTTGTCAATGTTAGCCTTTCTTTTTTACTTTCTGAGTCAACGTGAGAAGGCTTTTACAGCAGTAATTATCGGAGCCTCTGAACCTTAACAAAGATTTAACTGTTCACCCAGGAGCTCTAAATATTCCTTAAATTGTTCGCATTTGGGTGAGACTAAGGATTCTTGATCCTATAAATTTAATTTCTAAACAGAAGCTGTTGCTGACATGCCAAATACAAGATCATGAAAAACATTTTGATTGATAATTTGAAAACACCGTAAAAAGGTCCCATTTTTAAAAGTGCTTGTATTTTTGCTGATGTCCCCAGCTTCGGGAGTGTTCATACTGGAAACTACTGTAATGTCATTCTGGAGTATTTGCATCACTGCACATTCCTGCAGCTGCTGCACAAAGACGTTAATTGAGTTTGTAGTATTGTCTATGCTCAAATCTAGTTCCATTGTAATGCAGAAGGGTAGGTGCTTTAGATAGTACTGCAAAGCAGCAATCTGATCTGGAGGGACTCAAGGTCTGGATTTGAGACATTTAAGATCTCCCTGTAGTATGCTTGCACTCATTCCATACAGCAGAGACCTTCCAGGGAAGGGCACCCCGGAATGTGATTCCAAATGTGAAATTCGGATGTTGGAAAGATTTGTAGAAAAACGGCAACAAAAATGGGCTTATAGAGGTAGGGCTCTTTAGTCCTCATCGATGCACTGAATCTAATAAACTCTTAGCCTTTTATTATATTTGGTGCTTTGTACTTGCAGTTCTGTTTGGGATTGAATTATATTAATGTAGTATAGTTGAGAGAAATTAGGTTACCCAGAAGTAAAACAGGCTGAATACAGGAACTAGAGGGCAACATGTACTTCATTCAAAAGTACTAGGAAGGTGAGAGTGTACCCTCAGAAAAGACAAGCGTTAAATAAAGATGTTCAAAGGGAGATTGAAAGCACTGAGAATCACTTCTGGTTTTTTTCAGCAACAGTATCCTCAAATATTCTTTCTGGAATTATTATCTAACTTGGATTATTTTTAAGTGATCCTTTTGGGGCTGTGCTGGATTCAGTTGTAGGGAGCACAGAAGGTGCAATATCTTTCACTGACTCCAGGCTCCCTCAATTCTGGACAAGCATGTAATAGATGCTTCACTCAAGTCCATGGAACATCTGCTCCATCTCTGCTGTCAAAACATCTTCAGTCTCTTATTTAAAAATAAATAAATAAATAAAAAATCAAGAGAAAACCCAACAATTAAAAAACACTGATGTAAAAGCCAAAGTACTGTTGATACTCCATGAGAAGGCAGTGGAGGAGACCAAAGTATTGTTAATATTTTACTATCTGCAGGAGGAGGGAGTTAAGTGAGTTGTGCCTGGATGAACTTGGAAGCAAGTCTCAGCCAGTACTGTGAAGGCAGAAATCACAAGCTGTCAACAGTCCTTGTCAGTATATACTAGAGGAAATTTCCTTCCTAATCCGGGTGTGCTCTGTCTGCCATAAACATCTCCAATTTGCCGGCTGTTTGGAGTAGGTTTCTGACTGGAAGATCGGAGTAGATCAAGGAAGGTCAAGGACCCAGAGTATGCCAGTGACTTCCACTCTGCATTTGTGATGGTTGATGACTGGGGCTTGTATGAATGTGGTATCATATAGAGCAACAAGAAGTTTCCAAAGTAAAGATAACTTGTATTTGCTGCCAGGGTAGGCCTTTGAGCCGGTTGCGGTTTGAATTCAGAAGAGTCCTTACAGGCTGCTTGATGTTCTGATGCGCATACCAAGCGTACTCCCTAGTATTGCAGTGTGGTAGGTACTTGGACATAAATCAGCCCTTTCTGTATCATTCCGTGTGGCTTTGTAAAGGGCTGGAAGCAACTCTGAATGTTGGCAACTTCTTTTGAGTCTGCAACACTTAGGAAGCCAAGGATGTACTACCCTATGCTCTTCTGTTGGATGAGTAAAGGAGCCAGGGGGATTGGAAGGCTGGCAAAGTTTTTGCTGAAGACAACTCCTATTGTCTAACCATCTTCTGCGCGCTCATTTCTTTTCTTTTCTTTTCCAGCCTCTCTACAAGTGGACATTGTTCCAAGCCAGGGGGAGATCAGCGTTGGAGAATCTAAGTTCTTCTTATGTCAAGGTGAGTGATGCCTTATGGCATCAGTGGTTTCTCTCGGGGTTTACGGCGATGGTCAATCAACATATTAACTCTGGGATAAAAGCTCCAGTGCCAGGTCTAGCTGCAAGATATCTTGCTCTTTCTTTCTTATATGCCCTTGTGGTTTATAAGACTGCGTAGCGAAGGCAACACATGCTGTTCACTGGAAACAGTAAATGCATTCTCCCTTGAGAGCTGGCAACAGAAAGCAGCTCTAGCAAACAGATTTTAGAATGAAAAAACGAGTACTGATGTGTTGTCTCTAAGCTAGAGCAATAGCCACAACAATGGCACCTTGCATCGTTCCACAGCTCTTTGATCTTTTGAATTTAGAATTAAGCCTGTTGTTTTTCCAAATTATTTCTCTAATCAACTGCTAACAGCAGTAATGGGAGTTCTAGGTGGCTTGAGAGTTGTTACCTCTGCAACTAAGGGGTTTTAATGCTGCTGAAAACCTGCATTTCTTGTGACACAATTTACTGTTTGTTCAGGCCACTAACTGCCCCAGCCTGTTCTTCTGCACTATGTGGTGCAGTGCTGACCCAGTCCATGTGCCCCAAAGCAGATCCTACAATTTTATGGCATTTTCCAAATTAGCCTTCATGTGTCCTCTTCAGAGAGTCTTCTGAAAGCAGCTGGCCTAGTGTCTAATGGGAGGAATTAGTATGTTGAAGCACTGACATGATAGCATCCTGAAGCATCACGACACAGAGCAAATAGGTGCTATAGTGAGCTATGGGAGCAAGATGCCATCAGAGGACCACAATTCCTTTGGAGCATACTGGCTGGGACAAGTAATGAAGTTGTCCGATCCCGGAGTGCTTAACATCAGAGTAATTTGTTAATGCCAGTGCTTTAAAAACGACCATATACTCTGAGCAAGTGCTGTTGTGATATTTGCATTCAGAAAACTGTGGGATCAATTAAAGCTCCTCCAGTAATAGCAGTTTGTCCCAAATAAAGCCACACTGAGAAATGCAGATGTGAGCTGGAAGACAGAGACAGCTTGGACCCACTTAATAATGATTCTGATTTACACTGAATGCGGCAGAAGATTTAAGTTGATCAGTGCCAGAACTGCTGCTACACCATTTTGGTATGCAAAATAGCCCAGCCTGCGAATAGGGTATTTATTGAACACATGATAGAGCTGAAGCAGGAAGAGATTTTTATTTTTCGGTCTGATCTGCTTAGTGGAAGGACTGGGACATGGGATTCCAGGATGCATAGAAGGCCAATCTACGCTAAAATGACTGTACCCCTTTTTAGATTATAAAACCTACCTAATATCATTTTTGCAGGACAGCAAATGTGATGGACATGTGATGTCCAGCAAATGCAGGACAGTGCTGTGAGAGAGAATTTTCTTTGCTTGCTTCTCAGGTACCAGAAGCCCTTCCCCTGGGTCAATCTTCTGCATAGTGCTACTCGTTGTATTTAATTCTCTCTGTGCAGATTTGTTGGGAACTCATTTCAATTTGCTCTGTTTTCTTTTATTGTCCCTAGTGGCAGGGGAGGCCAAATACAAAGACATTTCCTGGTTTTCCCCTAATGGTGAAAAGCTGACACCGAACCAACAGCGCATCTCCGTGGTGCGGAATGATGACTTCTCCTCCACCCTCACCATCTACAATGCCAACATTGATGACGCTGGCATCTATAAATGTGTCGTCAGTAGCGTGGAAGAAGGAGACTCCGAGGCCACCGTCAATGTGAAAATTTTCCGTAAGAGAGCAGCTCCAAGGCTATTTTCTGGTCTACCTTGCACATGTATGAGGCACGATTAGGCAGGCAACCATTTTAACTTCCTACAAAAGGCTATTTTTAAAGGGGAAGGAGGAGAGTGAAAATAAAGGGGATGCTAAGAAGATGCAACCTTCTCCATTCTTGGTTTTGAGGGGTAAGTGGGAACTAGGACCTTGGCTTGTCAGGGCATTACCAGCATGTCTCCTGACATTTCCAATTCTTCTGAAAGACAGGAGAGCAAGGGGTAGAAGAAGATTCTGGCATGTCATAAACATCTAGGAGGAGTGAGCAGCTTCCGTGAATGACAGACATGCCATATCTCATAAGATAAACCTAGTGTTCAGTAAAGAGGATCACACACTCAGAAGGGTTGTAGTAAGCCGTCAGCACATTGTCTAGCAGAGCCATGATAGCAGTTCCTCCCCTTCCTGCCGGGAAGCTGAGCAGTTCCAAGTTCATGTTTTCTCTTGGCAGCGTGGGCAAATTGGTGAGCTAGGTATTGATTTGGCACACTGATAGGCCAGGGAGGCAGGGCTGGAAAATGGGGCTCCTGTGCTGCAGTGCATTGAGTCAGGCACACCTTTTATCATCCCCTCAGGAACAAGATGATTTCTACAGAACACGTCCTCTCTGGTTTCTTTGTGTTACTCAGGCTTGAGTCAGGAGCACAGCTTGAGGTGTGCTGAGAAAGCTGCAGTGACTTTCTTCTTCCATTGTTTTCAGAAAAGCTGATGTTCAAGAATGCTCCCACTCCGCAGGAATTCAAGGAAGGGGATGATGCTGTGATTGTGTGTGATGTGGTCAGCTCCCTGCCTCCTACCATCATCTGGAAGCACAAAGGCAGGGATGTTATCCTAAAAAAAGATGGTAAGTCACAAGAGGTGTCTTGGTGCTTGTCCATTCAGGGGTCAAATGTGCATCTCTATCAGGGCTCAAATCTGGCTCATACGAGGGGTTTAGGAGAACAAAACAGCAGTGGTCACAAGGGAGGAGAGAAGCAATTTGTACCTAACACTAGGTCTTAGGATGTGAATTTAGTTATTCAAGGTGCTGTGGTCTGGCAACGGCAGGGCAATAAAGTTCCCACAGAAATGGCCACCAGTCTTGGACACTGGAATAGGCCAAGGAATGCTAGAAAAAAATTTTGGATAAGAGAAATACTATCAGACAGAAAAGCTGCGCGTTGTGACACTCTCCAGTCTTCCTAAGGAAAAGGGGCTAAAAGCCTCTTGCAAGAACCTTTCCCTTTCTTTCAAAATGCTGCAGACTGTCATGCCCAGAGGAGCCTTTCACTGGCAGAGGGGACTCCAGAGCCATGACTCCAGTTGAGCATTCATGCCTCAGCTGTGTTCCCCACGTCTGCTTGTTGAAGGCACAAGGGAGCTGTAGCAAGACTGCAACTCTGCCACCCTTGGCAAGAGCGGCAAGTTTCAAATCACTTGTTGTCTGATACTAATGAAATGTAAATATGTGTGTGTGTGTGTATTTGTCTGTTTATCTCTCCGTGTGTATTTATGGTATAACGTACTAGAGCTGTTTGCATGCTGCCCACATCTGGTTTCTTTCTTGGCATACATCAGATCCAGTTATAGCAGTATCTCCATTAAGTGGTGGGAAGGAAAATTTTATTATGCTGGTCTTGACTCAAGCCAGAAGGGGCAAGGAGAGGAGAAGAACCTATTACCTGCAGTGAGCTTTCCTGCAGATCCTTGGATGAACCTTTCCTTTGTCTTTTTCTAGTTCGATTTATAGTCCTGTCCAACAACTACCTGCAGATCCGGGGAATCAAGAAAACAGATGAAGGGACGTACCGCTGTGAGGGCCGGATCTTGGCTCGTGGGGAGATCAACTTCAAAGATATTCAGGTCATCGTAAATGGTGAGCACCTTAGAGTAAGGCTAGTATGGAGACAGGGTATGTGGCACCTGCGCTTGAGGATGCTCATGAAATGTTACTTTAG